CCTGCTGAATTTGACATAAAATAGCTATTAATGTCAGTGTGACCTCATTTAGGCAAAGCCAAAACACTTCTGAAAAAGCTCAGCCCATCTCTCTGTGCACACAGCTAAAGGCATTTCACTTAATTAAGCTAAATAAGATTTGTCCTCCTATGTAAGTTGTTGATGTGCCCTGTGATGGCTTTCAATATGATCACTAATTTATAAAAAGGGTGAATAAAAAGCAGTCCAAATAGGCTCCAATAGGCCTGCAGTCCAAATGCTCAAAAATGACTTTGAAGCTGTTGAACACTTAGGCCTTAAATGGGTATTATTTTGTAACCAGGGTAGCCTGAAGTTTAAGGAGAGCAGGCACTTCTGATTTTACTAAATTGTGAAAAGGACTGTGTGCACTACCTGCAAAAATAGCTGCCTGCAATGATGCTTCTAAATCCTCATCCAGCATTCAAACAAATAGTCAGCTTCTAAAAAAAAATGTGACAATGAACTCAGGTATCTTTTAGCACCCACTTACAGATCTCTCTAGAAGCTGCGCTGTTCTCTCAAACATGAGGCACGTGGCACCCTGCTTTTTGTTGTTTTTTAGTAAAAGCATTTATTTGTGTGCGTCCCTAAATAGTCTGATTTGCAAAGGGACAGGTCTACTCTTGACAAAATGTTGAATGTCTAAGTTGAACAAAAACGTGAGTCACTAGTGTCCTTGTGAGCAAAATTCCTCTGAAAGTCCTTCCAAAGTACCACGTCCTTGTGAAGGAGTGGGTAGGAGCACTGCGGGCTGCTGCGGTCAGAGGTGTTGTCAAAGGATTCTTTTTGTTGGAGTGGAAAGAAATCAGCTAAGACGTAACTTTAAACTTTTATTTTATGCCTGGATTCATTTCTGTTTTGATCTAATTTACTAGGGGTCTGACTATTTTCCACTGCCTGACACAAGTCCTAATATTACATGCTACTATTCCATAAAAATCACGAACAACAACAGTAAGACAGAGCGTGAAAAATTCCCAGTCAGCAACGGCACTGAATGTTCTGGTTTGAAGAAGTTTTTTATCATTTTGACAGTATTCAAGCGACTTCCCTTGAATACCCCCTTCAGTGTTAGAAAAGACCTCAGATGCATTGTTTATTCCTTCGATTTGGAGGCACCCTAGCTCAGCCGCCTTCAGCTAAGCTCTCTGTTACGGTGTTGGCAACCTTTCTGAAGCGCTGTAAAGACAACTAGGTGAGGGCAGTTAAACTAAAACCCTGCTTTCTGTATTTGGTGAGAGAGAACAGCACAGATGTGTCTGTTTACAGAAAGCCAGCTGCTATTATTATTTTGATATTGATTCTAATTTGAAGAAAATGCCGGAACAGCCACAGAAATCGGATCTTCAGCAATTGGGAGTACCAGAACAATCCTTTATTCAAGACCGAAAGAATGACGAACGGTTGTGCATGGATTTGCTTGTATTGCTTTCCTGGTTCAAGCATACAGGAAGGGCTTTCCAACGTACCATTTCCAGAGTGTAAAGCTAAGGAGATTATTTATCTTCATTTTCCATAGGGTAGAATTATGAGCTCCCAAAGTTTAAAATGCACACCGTGGAAAAAGTCTTTTCAAATTCATATACTGTTTTCAGTGGATGCTTTGTTCGTAGTCTATGCATCATCAGCTTTTTTTTCAGATACAAATATGGAAGCAATAATAAATTATTAATCTGAAATCACTGTGTGACTGTTCCCAGCAGAAATTGTACACAGTTAATTGTATGCTTGGAGGTAGCACAGGGGGAGATTGTCTCAGAATTCTTCTTTAATTAAAATTACATAGAATTACAGAGCACCAACTGTGAACAGTAATGAAGTGTTGGTAGTACTTGTCTGTTTATCTGGAAAATAATATTGGAATATTTTTTAAAAAAATGGGTGTATTTTATCTATCTGAGAAAAGAAGCACACATTCACGAGTAAAATATGGCATGTAAAGCAGTGATTCTCTGACTAAATTCTGTCTATGTTATACTTCTGTTATTTCCTATTAATAATAGACTTGTAAGGATAATAGCCAGATAAAAAAAGACTAATTTTCAGCTTTGCCTATTTGCCATGTTAGATCAGATGAGATGCAGTATGAATTTTCCCTATGCCGCTTTGCCAAAGTCATCGGTCTTCGGAGAAACACATTCTACAAAAGAAATATGGTGCTTCTCTGTGTTGCGAGCTGTAATCTATTCCTGGAGACCTCGGTGAGGTTATCACAGCAAAATTCAGCTAAAGCTAGTGCGACTTTGCGCTGTGGATTATAGAGCACCTACGGAGATCTTCCTATGAAGTGTAACTTTATCTAGAAAAGAAGAAGAACAGAGATAGCCACATTTTGAGGTCCAGTCTTACAGTCAGTGATTACATATCAACAGAAGCCGTGGTCTGCAGCTAGGAGTATTTGAAAGGTGCAGATATTCAGCAGGGAGACAACTGCTTAACTACAGTTATTAACTAGAAATAAGACGATCAAATGAAGACACTAAAAAAAGACTAGACTACAGCAAAAAATAAGACCATAATAAAGGACGGTTTCCTACCAGAAAGACAGTAACTCTGTCACCCTTCTAAATTAAAATGGAGAAAGTGCTAGATAGTGCTCTGTGAGGAGAAATACTGTATTGGTACAAAAGTGACAGAAAGACGTGTTTTTCAAAAGCGCTTATTGGAGTAAAGTGTCAACTCACAAAGAAAATAAATTAGATTTTGGCACTCAGCTCCTTCTAACTACTTTTCAAAGTCTGACCCTAAATGATTTGATAATTCTCTTCATTTTCAACCTTCGGTCTAGTAACCAGTCCCTTGAGCTCACGTGCTGGAGTGGTCTTAGTAAAACGTAGTAACATTTTCTCATGCTGATGAATAGTTTATTCATGAAAGTAACTCATTTTGAATAGGCTTGAAGAGCTGGGGCACAAACGTGATATTTCTGCCAAGATGTGCAGATTTACATACCGATTTTAGTTGTGTACTTACTTTTTATTATCTTTTATTAAGTGTGGTTTTAATTAAAAAAGTAGAAACATGAACAATTTCAAAGACATATGCAAAGGATAGTGCTGTTCAAATCCTTCTCAGATTCAACCCTCTCTGCTCTGTTTTATTCACATACAAGTTTTGAGTGCTGTGATTTGTGTGATTTAAATTGCTAGTTCATAGCAACTAAGTAGGCCTTTCTGTATAGCAGAGACTGATCTTATATGACATATATGTGATCTTTCTTATTATGGTTTCCATCATCTTCTCTGCACCTTTCTAAAGTTTGTTGCATCTACTTTTTATGTCTGATCTTAATTATATTTCAGGCAATTTAGGAATAGGGCTGTCTTTTACTCTGTTTGTTACATCACGCAACAGGGAACCAAGTCTGACTGTGACTACCGGCCACAATTGTCATATATAACAAAACATAATTATAGCTTCAGTCATTTGAAGCTGATGTGAATTGGCCATGTGACTTAACAAGTATAATTTGCAGGGAACAACCAAAATAGAAAAGGAAGAAAGCCTACCTAGAGACAACTTAATACAAAAATATAATCAGTTAAGCACTGATGTCACACGCAGTGCTTTTCCAAATGGTTTTGATGCTATAGAGAACTGTGACATTTTGATGTAGAGTATAGAGTCAATCTTGGTATTTCAACATGAAACATCACTGAAATAGTGGAAGACTTTTTAGATTGGTTACTCTGAAATATGTGTGTTCCTTATATAGAACGTTATATGGACAAAAGTGTAGCTATTCCATAATCTCTCTTTCTAAAACACTTAAGCAGAGCACAGCAACAATCAGTGCAACTCTTAATCACTTAAGACTCTTTGGAAAGTATTTGACCTTTCAGTTCAAATCTATCAGATGTCTCATATATGTACTGCTATTTTAATAAGTCAGTGCCCTTATCAAGGCTAATATGTAGATTTCCATTAACGCCACACTTTTTACATGCAATACAAAGCCAGATGTCCTGAGACTACACAAGTGCCTATTGAATTTCTGTTGGGAGTAGGAGGGAAGTTTTGTCCAAGTTTCATTTATTTAAAATACAGTCAGCTCCCATCAAGTTTCAGCTAAACAGAATTATCTCTTTTTTGTGTGTGTCGGTGAAACCAATGGATCTAATTCATGCATGCCTGAACAATTGGCTACTGTTGTCTGAGAGAAAGGGCTTTGAGATCCTGGTGAAGGACTATATGAGCATATATTATAAAATAATAAAATGCAAAGTGATGGAATTTGGTAAAGCCTTTTCAGGAAAGCCTCCAGAGAAGGTTCTAATAAGAGTGGGACCTCAACAGCCCAGCCAGGGAGGCAGTAATTTTGAACTATTAAACTATTAAGGTTAGAAATGCAAAAGCTGACAGACTCTTCACTGTATGAGTAATACCTGGTAGTGATAGAAGTATAATGGCACCCAAAGAGCTGCTTAAATTAAAGGTCTGTCAAAATTTTTTATTGTGCATGTCTTCAAGTGTCAACACCATCACTCTAAAAATTCAGCACAATCTGAACTAAAGTTCTCAGCCTAAAGGAAAAATATAAACTGAAAACATTAATATGCAAATTAAATTGGAATTTGTACTGCTTGGGAGTTGGAATCATAGACTAATATGAATGGGCGACAGTATGAACAGCAAACACGTGAACGTGTATCAGTCAGTGACTCCATCCTAAGTGGCAATAGTTGTGTTACTCCAGCCCGGCTGGAACTCATTACAGGCTATAATTAAGGCTGGAGCATGTGGTTGCTTCGGGAGGTAGACAAATGTGTTCTGCTGTTTACTGATCTCTGAAGTCCGAAAATGTACGACTAGTGCCAAACTGAAAGACTGTTTCTCTCCTCGTTTCTTACCATGACAGTTGAAAACAGATGAAATGCTAAAGTTAGCAACCTATTCATTCTATTTTAATACTAATCAAGTGATAGGGTTTTCTAGAGAAGATCCTCAGTTCTGAAACGTGCTGCTTCGCTTGCGGAGCTACAGTCTGTTTAACATAAGAAGGGATTTGCAGGTGGATTCTGCATCATTAGCAATTTAAAATTCCAAGCTGGATTTTGTTTGTTTTGTTTTGATTTTAAACGTGCTCTGGACCACAGACTTCATTCAATGAAGTCCAGCGGCCCACATAAAATAGAGCATCTGACGAAATGATCAGCGTGATCACACAGTAACAGCCTGTGAGCAAACAGCAACATCTGTTGGTTGTCCTAATTCTCGGAAAAGATTGGGGCAGAGGAGGGAAGAGTAGAAATACCTAGCAATTACAGTGCGGGGCCCCAGCCCCAAGGCATGTGCTTTCAGTTCTTTGCTTTACTGTGGCCATGGCCTCTGCATTCCCAGCACTTCGCGTCTGAACTTCTGAAAACGGAATGATATGTTTCCTCTAGCTCAGAGGGATGTTATGAGACTGAACACATTAAAAACTGTGAGATGCTCAGGTAGCATTGGGGGCTACATAAGGATCTCAGCTTGGCAGATTGATGTGCGGGGTGAGGCGTGTATGACAGAACGGTGGATGAGGAGAAGCTGGTTGTGAGCAGTCCTTCATGGCTGTGTCATACAGCACTAACTACCCAGAAATCCAGTTCTGATCAATGAGTATACTGGCTGATTAATGATTTGTGTGGCTGTATTATTTAAGTCATGCTAAGTTTTTTAGCATACAGGAACTAAGGGGGCATAAAGAGTCACGGTTTTTGCTATTTCCAAATTAAATGAAGTCAGATTATTAACTTCAAAGAATTAGGACTGCAATAAAAAGCCTAAAATCTTTTAATCTTTAAACCAAGCCTGGCTTCCAGACTGTGGGCACATATGGGGAGGAGGCAGTTTATTTGTCTGCTGAGCCACCTGAAGTTAAATTTTGCATCTACACTAGACATTGCTTAGCTGTATGTCAGCAAATAGGCAAATCCACCACCGCTATAAGAAAGGAAAGTCCAGCGCTCGCTGCTTTTGCACCGCTCTGTTTTTGTTGCCTGTTCAGGTAGTTCAATTCAAAAAATAAGTAAGCCATTTTCAAGTGTAGACCCCAAAGGGTTACACAAAAACAAGTCTGCCAACAGACTCAGGGGGGGAAAAAGACATTTTTATGTTTTCTGACTTTGCACACATTTTGCACTCATAGAATTTGAAAACACCTTCATTTTTTAAACTGCAAATTTGCAGATCATTAGCTGGTAATGTGCACTAGTGCCTTTGGGTCTTTTGAAAGCAAAAATGAAAAATGATTTAATTAACCCTGGTCTACTGGTTGCAGCGCATGCCAGAGATCCAAGCCGGATTACTGATTCCAGTTGCTGGGCTGGCAAGGTTTGGACCGCAATGCTATGGTAGTAGCATGTAGCAGATGGGGGTAGGATGGTTGAACACGGCTTTAAAATGAAATCTTCTAATCAAAGTCTGCCGTTTGAGTGACACAACATAGAATACGTTCTAGGCATTTGAGCAAGTTAGCTGCTATGAAAGCTCTTTCTTCGGGCAAGGCATATTATAAGGAATGAAAGTGGGAGCTCTGAATTTCTGAAGAAGTATAGAGAGTGTCCTGGGCGCTTCAGAATTTACTGCACATCTGTTTCTGGGTTCTACGCGTGCAGGAGGTCGTCCTTTTTCACCCTGTACAGCCCACTATCCCTCGTAGTCTAACTGCATAATTCATTCCATTTGATGTTTGCTTTGTGTTTTCATTTGTATATTTTTGTATTGACTAAAAGCTATTAAGCTACGAAAGTGGGGAGTCAAAAGGCAAAGGGTTGGATGGACAGGTTAGCAGAAAATCTTGACAGCTGAGATGGCTTTTTCCTCTACCTGTCTCTTCGCCTGTACCTATACCAAAGTTTTTGAACTCTTCAATTCTGCCTGTGTAACACAGGCTAGAGCTTCACAGGAGAAGAACAGGTCACAAAATGCAGGTTGCCTGATCCTGGTCAGCATACAGGATTTCTGCTAATCCTGCAGACCTGTGAGCAGCCTTCACAGCGTCTACAGATCATAAAAATTTAAATTTGTCCTGTCTTTTTGTGACTCTCAGAAGCAGGAAAGTCTAATTACTGCCTGCATTCTGCTGTTGGCACAGAGAAGGAGAACAAAACTGTCACCTGCATGCCAGAGAGAATTAATCCTAGTCCTACAGATTACAGAGATTTATTAACGCTGTAAATACGTTTTTTCCCTTCAAGTTTGGCTGCTACGTTCTTACAGACCTTTCTCCCTACAGCAACTGTCAATGTGGGAGATGGTTTTTTTAGGACATGAACACTTGTCCTGCTAGGACTGAGATCACTACTCTCACCGGACGCTACATACTAAACTGCTTTCTGATAGCAACGGCTCTCTGCTGAATTTTAGCAAACTGAGTAGTCTCTTTTAAATGTGTCTAAGCAGCAAGTGACTCAACAAATGTTAAGCCATTAGCATCTGTCTTGGCAATTATACAGCAAATTAGGAGAGCCATTATGGTCTGCTGGATGAATAACCCAGGTTTCAAACTGTTTCTTAAAAGATATTGTTACAAGTCAGATTTAGTTTTACAGTGGCTAATTCAATATCACGGGTCTTAGGGAATACACAAGAATGTCCTTTGCTATGTTTTCTCATGAACTACTGTTTAAAAGTGACTTGGCCTCAAAAAGCTAAGTGGATCTGTGATTAACACCATATCTTACCCATCTCTGAATAGTGTAAGAGATTTCAAAGTAGTTTTTCAATTTGATCTTCTTTCAAATATTGAACCAGCTGGTCAACTTTCATTAAAATGCTTAATTTTCACATTTAGGAGAGAGTCAAGATTAATAAGTAAGTATAGAAATTTGTGGGCTTATTTGTAAACTCGATGTTCAGATATTGCTTAAATAGTTAAATGCTTATATGTGTCTTCCTACATCTTTCACGACAAGACCACAACTTTCTGTTTGACTAAAGCAGTTAATGTACTGTATGACAAAAATCAATTATGAGCCTTGCTGTTTACCAGTTAAGCTTTCTCTTAATATCTACCAAAAAACTGTATATTAACAGAGAAGCAAGGAGCAACTCTAACAGTCTTATATAGCGATTTGTTTTACTCATTGACCATAAAATATATGAAGTATGTGTTTAAGATTCAGAATTTTGGAACATATCAGACTGAAGGACTGAGGCCGCTCAGGAGAAAGAGCCTCATATTTTCCTTTCCACTGCCCTGAAAAAAAAAATCTGCATAGCTTATATGATTAATGAACATAATGCATAAAATAACGGGCTCGACATTTCAAACTTTAGATTTTACTGGTTAGTAGTGTTTTCTAAGGATCAGCACAAGCAGATGGGCATCTTTACATGCCAATGCTGTAGAAAAGAGAGCGGGCCAATTCATTTGGGTGACAGCAGTTTAGCAACACGGAAGTCGAAGGTGCTGCGCAGAGCCCCACCACCTGCCAACGCCACCCTAGGGCTACGTCCCTTGTCACAGGGTGGTGGCGGAGCCTGACGTTCGTTCCTATTTGTTCGTGGCAATGTACGTGGGGAAGGTTTTGTATTTGGGGAAAATCAGTTGCTTAAGAGACACTTTCTGAGAGTTTTTGTATTTTCCCTTTTATAAACACAACATTTTATGTTTACCAAACTGAGATCAGTCGGTGAAAAAAAGAAACATCTTTGTACTTGGTGAAATACATAGGGTTAGAAAACATGCAAAAAGGTGTACAGATAAACTTTAAAAGAGTGTTAGTTCAAAGAGTATGGACAAAATTCAGTCAAAAGGTGGGATGCAACATATCAAAAGTCCATTTCAAGAAAACAAAAAACCCTCCTCTTTAAATATTGTTACTGTTTTGTATAAAAACGTAGAACTTAACAACATTCTTTCTTTTAAAAAATTAAAAATATATATATGTATAACAACAAGCAAGAAGACAAAACACATCAAAAATGGGAATTAAAAAAAACTCTTCAAAAGAAGACAAGAAGTCAAAAAAAGAGGGGAGAAAAAAGATTTTCAGGGATCCTTGTCATGCAAATCAGTTTGGCGGCAAAAAATACCTTCATCTTCAGCACCGTCATTATCACCTAAATCATCTGTCTGTTTCTTTGTAAGGGGACCTAGGATTAAGAACGGAGAAAATGGAGGAAAAAAGACAATTCAAGAATATACAAGACTGAGGAAAAAAACAGTGAATATTAAATTCCCGTGGATGTTTCAAGAAAAACATTTGCAGGGAGGGAAATCTTAGTTTCTAACAACCAATTTTTAGTCATGTTTTTCAAACATTACAGCAAAACCTTCCTTAGGGGGTATAGCTATTAGAAACATCTAGCACAAGAATCAAAGAGTGCCCAGTGCTTTATTGTTTTTAAATGAAGAAACAAAGCTTTGTTTACTAAAAGCATACCCACCATAAACCATATTTATCCACTTAATTTAATTGTTTTTTTCTTATTAGGAATAGAGGAGACAAAGACTGCCAAATTCTCTCTTGCATTTGATACAATAAGGTGGCTAATAAATGTATCGACAGCTGGTTAAAAGAAAATTTTCCACGAAATGCTAATTCATATTTCTAATTTCAGCCATTTAAGCTCATGCTTTACAAAGATAAGCATGGGTTTGGCTTTAGTTTTTTTCTTTTTTTCTTTTCTTTTTTGTTGATACACTCATTACATTCTATTTTAAATCGAACTGTAGTTTCCCTTAAAACCTTTGACTACCTGCTGAGATATTTGTAAAGAAACGAGAAATATGTAAACTCGAAACAAGAGTGAAATCCTAGACCAACCGAAGGCAATGATTTTGCCATTGATTTCAATGGGACTAGGGTTTCACCTAAAGTATACAAAAGTTGCACTGAGTATATGGAATTTCAGTTTTAGCTTGGGCAGGGCAGACAATATCATAATTCGTTATTTCTATAAATGGACTGCAAGACAAAATTCTTTCATGCCCAGCATTTACATTATTAACAAGTATTAATAGATTCATCATGTTTTCCAATGGGAAAAATGCCTGCTCCTTTAGCGAGTAATAGAAATATACACCAGAAGGAAAGTCAAAGGTCATACTGAAAATATTTTCGTCATATATTTTACACACTTACGCACAAATAAAAGACAGTTGGAACTCAGCATTATCTTTCCTTTTTTTTCAGAGCTCTCTCATTTCCATGACATTCTGTAATTTGCATGCAAAAAAGCAATCAGTACAAACACACGACTAAGGAAAAAAAAAAAAGCCAGCCAAGCACAGAGTAGAAAACAAGAACCTTCTCATGCATAAAATAACAATAGACAAAAACAACAACAAAAAAGAGATGAACCATATGTGTTGATACTTGCAGTAGATGTAGGCAAAAGACATGCATTAACTCCAAAGCACAATGAAGGAGTATTAAAACATTTGTATTTTAAAAGCTCTATCTCATTCTGTTATTTTACAAGATATTAGGCATTCAACATTACATGTATAGTTTTAAGCAGAATACTATGCATTTGGTGCATTTAAAAAAAATTCAGAAGATGTTTGTACCAGGTGCATGAATCTGAGAAACACAAGTAACCCATGAGGTACTGTGAGATTTTTTAACTGTAAATTTAGGAACTGGACCATATTATTGAAAACCACAGCTGAATACCTTAATTACTACATCAGTCAGGAGTATAGTTTTAAACTAATTGTAAGCACACAAAACAAGACTTATACATCAGCAATTAAACAAAAGCATTTTATAGTCACAACTGCAAATAATCATTCTGTTTAGTACAGAACCTTGGTGAATGCACCAACATCTCCTAAGAAGAACTGTGAATGTAATCTTTACAGTATATGATATCTAGATAACGTGACCCTATCTGAATGCACATATTGAAATGACTTGCAGCCCATCATTCTCATACCACAGCAACTTTACATATACATAAAAGAATACATATAGCTAGGAAAGTAAAAGATATATGTATAATAATAATAATAATTTCATGGTGGGTTTTCAGCACAGCGTACAGGAAGAACAATGTTAAACTTCTAAGAGCTATGTAATTAATAACCATAAATAGCCAGACAGCCAAAATTATACATATATATATATATATATATACACACACATTTTAATGGATTCTTGACACCTTTAAATTAAAAAAAAAAAAAGCTCCCGAAGAGAACAAAATAGCATCTGCAAAGGCAAATGGCATATACTTCTCTAAAGTAGCACAGAGAGGGACAATTTCTTTTCCGCGATGGAACCAAGAAAATTAATGTTACATTTATTTTTCTAGTAGGTGGCCTTTGTGTGGTGTTTTGTAGAAGTCATATTTCCAGATGTCAACAATAGTCATATAGTGCATCAAATACCTCAGCACAAATGGTTGATTCCATATCATGCATGATTTCACACTAAGATGAAGCATTACTGGAGGTATCTCCTAAAAATAGGAGAAAATAGGAAATTATATACCTTTTGGCAAAGAGACTATCTGAATTATTTTTAAATATCATAGATTAAGCATCTTACACAGCTGTATATCTATTTTGCAATAAGCGGACTGAACTTGCCGGATGCCCTAAGCAGGAGGACTCATCCCTAATGGAGACATGCAGCAGTCCAACCAGGCACCACTTAAGGTATTCTGCTAAGAGGGAAATGAGACATCAATTTTGCCCACAGTTTACTCCAATTTGCAAATGTGATGGACCATGTTCGTTACATTTCAGCAACAGCTAACCTACAGAACCATAAACCAAACACTTTGGACAGATTTTCTAGCCCTGAATATCTGCTTCCCGGATTTACAGTGATGTACGTGGTCTAGAAACCAGAACACAGCTCCGTCCTCAAACACCAGGTGCAAAACTACTTACCTATTCGCTATAACTTTCCTGTACATACAGGCGTGCTGTGAAACTTAACTGGTATTTGTAAATTCTTCTGCAATCCCTAGAAGAAACATTAGCTCAAGAACTATTGTGCGCTTGGCTGTCTAAGACAGCATACGGCAACACAGAGTGGTAAAACCTTAAATTCTCAAAGCAGCAGCAGAGCTGTGAGTTTGGCTGTGCTGCATGTTGTCTATTTCACACCTAGCTGCTGAGGAAGTTCCCTGAAATCATGGAAGTGGTATTAGAGAAGCTCTGGATGAGGCTTCTCCCTGTTTCAGCAGCAAATCTCATTCCAAACCAGTAAGGAATGGTTTTTGCTTCTGATTCTCCAGATAACAGACTTCATTGACTAAATATGATTGCTGTGTTTGCAGGATCAGAAATAAAGACTGAAGTCTTCAGCCCTTACACAGGAAGAAACATGTTGAAATCACTACCAGGTAACAGAATAAAATCTTATGGAAAGGTCCTACAAAACGTAACACCAATAACGTTTCTAAATAAAAATAAATCAAGTCTAGAATTGCATAGCAGTTATAATTCTCAGTTATTTTCTGCAAGTTTGAATTAATATTCTACAGAAAGTTAATGATTTTATAGGTTAAATGTATCCCTCAACTAGAATTATTTCTTTAGCCCTATCAGTTTATTCACTATTTGATTCTATAGGGTTTTTCCCTAATTTTAAGACTCTCTTCAGGTGCCAGAAACTAATTTTGAAAATTCTGATACTAAGACATGGTGGACTAGGAACCAGGAAAAAAAGGGGGGCAGTATACATTTTCCAGAATTATGACTACCAGAAAAGTGTCTTTTGTCCACAATTACTTTCCGCTGTTGTTTCACTGTAGCTTCTCTTCACATTTGGTGAAGGTTAACCCTTTCCTTTTATTCTTTGACTATTCCACCTACAAAAACAGGCATCCATTAAGAAAAGACTGTATTATCTTTAAGATACTAGCCTTCAAATAGATACGTTGCCTTCCTGTGCTAGCCTAAATTTTAGCTAAAGTTTATACAATAAATAAATACTAAATATCAGCAGAGTAAGCAAGTACCATAAATAATGTAAAAAAAAAAAAAGCCTCTAAAACGCTGATGCAAAGATGGCTTACTTTGTCAAGTATCTATAAGGTTTAGTCTCCCTTTGCTGCATGCCTATAACTCTCATTAATGCTAATGGGAAAGTAGACCCCTATGTCAGCTGGAAAAGAAGGAAAAGCGATTACTGCATTTTATGTCTCCTAAACAAAATGAACAGTCTTACTGTAAAAGCTAAAAGAAAGCTGTGTGCAGGAGGAACTCCTTATGAACACTTTACTCATTTAATTTGAAAACAGTTCTTACATTATTGAAAGTATTATTCAAATACTCACTCTATTTGTATGGCAATTGATGCTAAGGAAGTAACAAAACACGTTTTAACATCTCCATAACTGACCCCTTTATGTTTGTAGGTGGCTTTCCTTGCTCAAAAGGAGGGAAATAGCACACTTCTTGTTCAGTTAGCTGAAGAGTAATTAAGTGCTCTGAAATAATTAAAGTCCAGCCATATTAATACTGGTTTTTATTATTCTCTTTGATGCTGGACTAATGTACTTTAGCTCCCAAATACATTAAAGCCGATTATAAATTCTCTCTTTATGGTCTCGATTCAGCAGAAATTATCTGTGACCTTTTGTAGCGTATGTGTGTGGGAGGCATGGAAGCTGCAGATGTCATTAGCTTCTCGGCCTAGGAAATCTATTCATCATTAAAAAACTCATACTGCAAGTTGACACCATTTTATAACACAACAATATAAATCCCCTAAACTTAATAAATCTATGCTTATGTAGACATCTATTGTTTTGGCCAAAACGTTCTCTTTTGGTAATGAAAAAAGTGGGAAAGAAAAAGGACCTCTTACATCAGGTTAGGTAGACTCCATGGATCAAATAAGCTGAAACAAATCGCCATACTTTAATAACCATTCTTTGAGTTAGGTCATCTGTTCCATAAAGAGAAAGAGGTGAGATTAAGGCAAAATACTGAAGTAATACAGGTATTAGGATAATTCGCTATATTGGTTGCAACATTATGGAATCTGTTGGGGCACACATGTTAAATACAATTACATATTTACCTTTAAACCTATCTCCATCCATCCATTGCTATTTCTACTTCATTAGCTCAGTTTTAAACTGAGCATTAACGTGAAATTACGTTTTTAGGCACTACCTTCTGAGGTTCA